GTTGTTTTCAGAGATATCTAACACCTCAAGTCCTTCAAGCCTACAGAAATCAGGTGGAATATGACCATTTAGATGGTTTTTGGACAATGCAAGGGAGGTTAAGGAGGAGATATTACCAAGCCAGGACGGTATGTTACCTGACAAGTTGTTGTAACTTAAGTCCAATGTACGTAAAGGAGCAGTGGATAACTTCTGTGGAATTGGGCCGGAGAAGTTGTTCCCATCCAAGTATAAGTATTCGAAATTGTTGATGTTGGCTGAAACTGGAAATATTTCCCCTTTCAACATGTTATTCGACAATCTCAGTAAATATAACTTGGATCCTTTACGAGCCAATCTTGTCGGTAGCTCTCCTTTTAACTTATTGTATGACAAATCCAAGCATTTAAGGTTTTTCATGTCAGCAAAACTTGAAGGCAACAAGCCTTCAAGCATATTGTTGGACATTGTTGATATCACGAGATTTGGGAAAATGGACCCAATGTTAGCAGGAAGTTCCCCCCGAATCTTGTTGTTTGAGATATCGAAAGTTTTCAGATTAGGAAGTAATGGCAATTGAAGAGATCCAGTGAATGCATTTCCATCCAAGTAAACTTCTCCAAGTTTAGGATTGTTTTCTAATAACCAATTTGGAAAGTCTCCACCAATGTTGCATTTCGAGAGACGAAGAAGTCTCAAGTGATGTTGAGAATGAAGAAAGTTTGGCATTTGAGAGCAGTTGAATAAAGATAAGGCTTCTAATTGAAACTCCGGGATCCAACTTTTAGACGTAGTTTGTACAATTACCGAGTTGTAGTCAGCAATGACAAACTTAAGTTTTGAATGGTTAGCAAATGACTCGAATGAAATTGGTACTTCAAAGTTGTTGTTTGCTATCAAGAGGTATTCAAGGGACAAGAGACTTGAAAGTGGAGATAAAGCAATGTTTCCAGTAAACTGATTATGAGTGAGATCAATTACTCGAAGAAACGCTAAGTTTCCAAGACATGTAGGGAGTTTTCCAGTGAAGCTGTTGCTGCTGAGACTTAGTTCTTCAAGATATTTTAGATCACACAAGCCTATAAAATGAACAAGTAGATAATTGTTATACATGTTCTATTTTGTTATGCAGAAAATATAGACTACTATGGAACCAAAATTCTGAAATTTTGTCCCGTTTACACAAGATTAACGTGACATCAATCCTACGTAGCACTATCTAGAAAGACGAAAATTTAAAGGATCGATGCTATGTCTGAAATTACCTTGAAGTGGTAGAGTTCCATTGAGGTTACATTGAGCTACTGATAATACTTTAAGAGATGACATTACACCAGTACTGCTCCTGAGAAAGTTCTCATCCAATGTGTTTCCATCCAACAATAAGTACTCTATATTTCTTAAAGCTCCCAACTCTTTCGTGCAAAAGAAACATAAAAGAATCATCAACATGTAGCCATAGGTGTTACAAAAGTGCAGCGTAGACGTGTGAAGTAATAGTAACTAACAAATGACACCTAAAATGGTGGAACAGCATATTTTTAACCAAGACACTGATACTGAGACACCTAGAATAATATCTCCGCGTGTAATCTATGGTTTTTCTAACAATAAAATCAACTGAAAGAAGAAACTTTAAGTACCTTCATTTGGTATAAAACTCTGGAATCTGTTGTACCTTATATCGAGCTTCTTCAATGTCGTTCTAGATTTATTCAACTCTGTCCAGGAATTCATAATAATAATGTTAGGAAGGTATGGATGATAAAAGAAGAGCTTTTTTTAGAACATTTTTATAAGTTTACTTACCTAGAGCAGAGAGAACATTTTCATCCTCTAGATTGTTATAGGTCAAATCTAGGATTTCCAGCTTGTCTAACCCTGACAATCTCTCAGAACCTGATCCAATTTTGTTGTTACTTGAGAGGTTCAGTGACTTGAGAGATGAAAGCTGACTAAGGGACTGAAAGATGCTGCGATTGAACTGATTCCCCGACAAGTCAAGTCTTTCTAGTTTCCTCAGTCGTCTCAGTTTCTCGAAACCTGTTACCAAATTAACAAGAAACTTAAAATGGACATGCTAAATTATGTGACAGAGTCAAGTAGATTGTACAATGAACTTAACATTCTTAAACCAGTATATAGTTAAACCTTTGGAAGCTGTAATTCAAGTTTGTATTGCGATCATACTCCCTCCGTTTCATTTTATGTGACATTCTTTCTTGTTGGTGTTTTTTTAAAAATGGGACAGCACAAAAAGACTGAAAATGTCTCTCAATGGATTGAAATGACTTTCAATAGCTTTCAATAATTTTATTAAGCATTGAGGGGCTTTAAATAACCAGCATAAAACACATAATCTGCATAATTTGAAATTTAAAACAACCTAAAATATCTCAACAACATAAACAAACTAACTAAAATTCAAAATTCAAATTTATTCAAACTAAATAACTTATTTTGCCAAAAGTTATTGCAGTAACTAAAAGCAAACTTCAACACTCCTCCTTTGCTTTAGTTACTTCAATTGAAAAAAATGCTTCTCCTCAATTTTTGCTTTGGTAGTTGATGCTGGATTTTTTTCTATTAGTTTTGAACTTGCAAAATTTCTTCTTTTTCTTTTTCTTCTTATGATTTTGTTCTTCAAAAACACATGTGATGACATTGTCTTGTGTAGAAGTTTTTTTGAAAAGTACTTTAATCTGAACTTCACAGAGAGAGATTGTAAGGGTTTTTCTTCCATCACAACCTCACATATCACATAGGTTTCAAAATATGGTTTTATTCTCACAGACCAAATTTGATAGTTTTCGTCTGTGAAAATTTGTGGGGAATTCAAAGAGAGACTGCTGCTTACCATTATTTTGGTTAAAAATGATTTAGAAAAGCCTGTGCATTGAAAAAAGCACCGGTTGAAAAGGTAGGGTTAAAATGGGTAGCCCTGATGGGTTAAATGGGTAGCCCTTATGGGTTAAATATATATGGTAGTTTTTTGGAAGATTTCACAGATCCCTTAAGATCAATGAAGCTCTTGATACCACTGTTGGTGTTTTTTAAAAATGGGGCAGCACAAAAAGATTGAAAATGTCTCTCAATGGATTGAAATGACTTTCAATAGCTTTCAATAATTTTATTAAGCATTGAGGGGCTTTAAATAGCCAACATAAAACACATAATCTGCGTAATTTGAAATTTAAAACAACCTAAAATATCTCAACAACATAAACAAACTAACTAAAATTCAAAATTCAAATTTATTCAAACTAAATAACTTATTTTGCTAAAAGTTACTGCAGTAACTAAAAGCAAACTTCAACATTTCTGTTTTATCCCGCTTAAAAAGAATGACACCTTTTTGTATTTAGAAATGGATCTTTAGAACCATTTTTCAGATATGTAGTACTCTATCTGTTTCATTTTATATGACATTCTTTCTGTTTTAGTCCGTTTAAAAAAAGTACAACACAATAGAATTATCATTACATGTTTACAACCACAAGCTTTTAAGGTTCTTTTGAGCCTAGTCAAACATCGCCATATAATATAAAACGGAGGGAGTAGTATAATCTCTTTCGTTCTATATTATGGGAGCGTATATAGAGAGAACATACCTTCATTCTTCACCCAGCCTGCTAATGAATGTCCAGGTATGATCAAAGCTTTGAGATTTTTGAAGGGAAAAAATAGAGATGCATTAAAAAGCCAGTTCCTCAACATATCATCTCTATCTGTAACATTTCTTAGTTGTTCTTCTTGACTAATTTGCTTAGCAATAATGGACAATTCTACGACTCTTCTGGTGGTGTTGTTGCAAACAATTCCCTCCCATTGACAACAATCCGAGGTTTCATTAGCCCCCCACGATGACAAGTAATCGTTGCCTGTACTGTAGTTTATGTTTGCCTTGAGTTGCAAAAGAGCAGTCTTTTCTTCATTCAAACAACAATAACAACACAACCATCCATTTGCCATGAACAAAATCAACAACCACCAATCTACTATCTTGCTATTAGCCATGTTTTGCTTCTTTACCTACAAGTTGACAACACTATAAGATATATCCGAACTATATATAAGAAAAAGAAGCTTGTTCGTTATCTGTGCTGGTGAGAGGTAGCAGGCATCTTAAGGAATAGTGCAATAATTGATGTAGACTAGAGTGGAATTTTGTGCAACTACTTTTCTTGTTATGTCCCTTTCAACTTCTTTATTTTACTCTTTAATATGTCTTGTTGTTCTTCTATCTCTATATTTTTCTCTAATTTTCATCAAAACATTGCTTGCAATTTGAGTTGACTAGCACCATCATTGACTTGACTTGAGACACTTACTCATGAGGAAACATTTCCCATTAGTATCACTTGTATGGAAGTTTCATGCAAACACTTCTATTGCTATATACTCCCTCCGTTTCAATTTGTTTTTCTGATTTTGACTTGACACGAAATTTAGGAAAGTAAAGAAGATTTTTGAATCATGTGGTCTTAAACATGTCACGTGGAAAGTTTGATGTAAAGAGTTGCAAAAAAGGAAAGAGACATTCGTTTTGAAACAGACTAAAAAGGAAAGTAAGACAAACAAATTGAAACGGTGAGTAAATTTTGATAATTATTGTGCTTAACTAGTCAACAAAAATTAATTCCTTAGCCATTTTCTTCTTCTTTCTTTTTTTTAGTTATAATTTTTGTGTGCTAATGTCAAAAAAATTCAGCTACTTTAGGAGTTTACCAAGTCTTTAGCACTTATTTCAGTGGACCATATAGAAGAAATGGCTCATTGAGCAGTATACATATTTTTCAAACCATTAATTGCACTGAAGAATTTTGGCTATTCGTCTGTTCTAAAAAATATGACACATTTTTATATTTCGAAATAATTTAATTAATCTGGCAAATGCTTAAAGAAGGCACAAGCAAATCAACACAACATTCACTAGTATTAATGGACTAGATAGGCACCAACATTCCAAGAACAACTCACACATACATTTACATAAATGAAATGTTACATAATTATGAAAGTCATGAACTTTTGGAATTAAAGTAATCGTAACATGAATACATGAAAGACTCGATATAATAAAACCAGACATTTCTCCAGGAGGGGTTTACGCAAAGTACTACAACCACTGCAACCACCACATTTGCATATGCTACAAGAAATGAAATACAGAACCACTCCATATCTAAAAAAGAAGCATCATCTTCGGAGAAATCTGGTGCAGGAAGGTATGTTGGAATCTCTTTGGCCTCTGTGCAACTGATGTGCAATGGAGGACCACAAAGAACAGGATTTCCCTCATAACTGCTTTCATCAAAAGTTGCAAACTGCGCTGTACGCTGTGGAGTCATACCTGTTAAATTATTGTGTGCCACGCTGAAAACTTCTAGAGCTGTCAACTTTAGAAGTTGAGTAGGAAGCCTCCCAGTCAAGTTGTTGTATGATATGTCCAAACTCTCAATATTCTGGAGATTTGAGAATTCTGATGGTATTGTTCCAGTAAGGTGGTTATGTGACAAGTTTAATGCATGAATGACAGTAAGATTACCGAGTTCATTGGGTATTTCACCACTTAACTGGTTGCAAGATAAATCAACACCAAACATGTAACTAAGAATGCTACCTTCATATGAATAAGTATTATATTTGGTTGTGAACTCTACTCCAACCCACGCGCCAAAACTATTTGGAAATGAAATTGTTGATGTTGTCTCGAATGAGTCATCTACGTCTATCAAGGTATTTCCTCCAAACATCTCGAAGTCTCCATATCCAAATGATGGACTGTAGTATACATCTGTGTCCCATGGATTCTGCATTATGTTTCCCAAGCAATGAGGTATAGGTCCTGAGATATTATTGTGAGAAAGATCCAACATTCTTAAGTAACTTGCATGACATAACTGTGGAGGAATGGTGCCTTGAAGACGATTTCCTTTCAAGAGTAAGGCAGTTAACTCAGAAGTTTCGTCCAACCATTTTGGAATTGAACCACTGAAGTTGTTATCTCCAAGATCCAACATTAGTAGATGGGAATTCGAGAACACGTTAAATTCCCCTTGTAACATGTTTTTGCTCAAATACACACGTCTTAAGGCTCGTAAAGCACTAAAACATGATGGAATCGTGCCAACAAGGTTGTTTTCAGAGAGATCTAACACCTGAAGTCCTTCAAGTCTACAAAAATCAGGCGGAATATGACCTCTTAGATGGTTTCCGGACAGTGCGAGGGAATCTAAGGAGGATATGTCACCAAGCCACACTGGTAAGTTTCCTGACAAATTATTGTAACTTAAATCCAGTGAAAATAATAAGGCAGTGGATAACGCCTGCGGAATTGGGCCTGAGAAGTTATTTCCATCCAAGAACAAATATGCAAAATTGTTGATGTTAGTCAAAACTGGAAATATTTCCCCTTTCAACATGTTATTCGATAATCTCAGAAAATTTAACTTGGATCCTTTACGAGCCAATCCAATAGGTAGATCACCTGTTAGCTTATTGCCTGACAAATCCAAGCATTGAAGGTCTTTCATGCCACCAAAACTTGAAGGCAACAAGCCTTCAAGCATATTGTTGGACATTTTGAATATCATGAGTTTCGGATAAATGGACCCAATGTTAGGAGGAAGTTGTCCTTGAATTTTGTTGCTGGAGATATCAAAAGCTTTCAGATTAGGAAGGAACAGAAATTCAAGAGATCCATTGAATGCATTTCCATCCAAATAAACTTCTCCTAGTCTGGGATTGTTTTCTAACAACCAATTTGGGAAGTTTCCACCAATGTTACATTTCGAGAGACAAAGAATCCGTAAATGATGTTGATACTGAAGGAAACTTGGCATTTGAGAGCAATTGGATAAAGACAAGGCTTCCAATTGGAAATTTGGAGTCCAGCTTTTAGAATAACAAAGCAATGACAAACTTAAGTTTTGAATGGTTAGCAAATGGCTCGAATGAAATTGGTATTTCAAACTTGTTGTTTGCTAACAAGAGATATTCAAGGGACAAGACTTCGAAGTGGAGATAAGGCAATATTTCCAATAAAGTAATTTTGACTGAGATCTATTACCCGAAGAGGTGTTAAGTTTCCAAGACATGCAGGGACTTCTCCAATGAAGTAGTTTAGGCGGAGACTTAGTTCTTCAAGATATTTTAGATCACACAAGCCTATAAAATGAAGATGATTGTTATTCATGTTCTTATATAGTTGTTATGCAGAAAATATTAGAAACATGGATTGTTCTGAAATTATTCATTGTTCTCGACTATTCATTGTTCTATTTACGTATGTCTGAAATTACCTTGAAGAGGTAGGACTCCACTGAGGTTGCAGTTAGCTACTGATAACACTGTAAGAGATGACATTACACCAGTACTCCTGAGAAAGTTCTCATCCAATGTGTTTCCATCCAACGGTAACCACTCGATATTTCTTAAAGCTCCCAACTCTTACATGCAAAAGAAACATTAAAAGTATGCTTTAAACTGTAAATGTTTGAACTAAAATGGCAATAGCGACTTGCAAATGACGCCTAAAATGGTGGAATGTCATATTTTTAACCAAAATGTTGACAAAGAGAGTTATTAAAATAACATCTTTCCATGTAAGTCTATGTATTTATATTTTATACACATCTCATCAAATGCAAATGGAGCCTGTGGAATTTGTAAATGATTTTGTGACTTTTCAGTTCTTTTAAGCTTGTGATTTCGATTGGGTACCAATAAGATATATTTACATAGCAAGATGTACAAGGAGGTAGAATAAAATCAATTGAAGGAAGAAAAACTTCAGTAATTGTATATATACCTTCATTTGGTATAAAACTCCGGAATCTGTTGTACCTTATATCAAGCTTCTTCAACGTCATTCTAGATACATTTAGATCTGTCGAGGAATTCAGAATAATTATGTAGGAAGCTACTGAGGAAAAACGGCTTTTCACAAAAGAAACTATAAGTTTAATTACCTAGAACAGAGAGAACATTTTCATCATTTAGTGCATTGTAGCTCAAATCCAGGATTTCCAGCTTGTCCAACCCTGATAATCTCTCAGAACCTGAAATGTTAGAAGGAAATGGATTATTTTTAGCACAGTTCTGTAAAAAGAGGAAGACTAATAGTGCAAAGGGGAAAACAGATGAACCAAATGTTAGCACCTGATTCAATGTTGTTTTCCGCGAGGTACAACGACTTGAGAGATGAAAGTTGACTAAGAGACTTAAAGATGCTGCGGTTCAAGTAGTTCAATGACAAATCAAGTATTTCTAGTTGTCCAGGTTTCTTGAAACCTGTAAACAAATCACGAAGAAACTTAAAATCAGACATGCTAAACAGTTAAGTTTTCGCGAGGCAAATAGATTAAATTTTGAATTTAACATTCTTGCTGATATGTATAACTACTTCAGTCCTTTTTGGAACATAGTCATAGTTACTAACACTTATGATCAATGGAACATAGTCCTTTCTTCTTTCCAACAACAATAACAACATCTCCATCCATTTACCATGAACAAGACCAGCAACCACCAATAAATCTTGCTATTAGTCATATTAATATATTCAAACAATCCTCTTTACAACACCGGAGATAAAGAATCTATTTAAAAAGATAATGAGTTTCTTGGCGCAGGAATTAAAAAGGGCAGCCTAGTGTACAAAACATCCCAGGTTAGCAGGGTCAGGAGAAGGGCCACACCTCAGCAGTGTGATGTAGACAACCTACCTAACAAAAACACTACTAAACACAATATTTCCTTGTAATTCATCAACTTGTTGCTTGGAAATTGATTGATTTAAAGTGAGCTGGAAAAGAAGAATTCGAAAATGGAAGGACCTTGACAAGTTGACTATCACCATCAGAAACAAACTTCGATTTTCTTGCACCTACATTACGCAATGAACAAGTGATTCTCTTACCACTTATTGTAATACATTTCTTTCAAAATCACTAGTACTTGTGTAACTCTATCCAACTACCAAACGACCCCTGATTGCACTGAAGAATTTTGGAAATTTTGTTAATATATCTTTACTAAAGTTAAACTTAACAATTTCTTTTGAGCAAATGTGTCCCTCTGTTTCACATGACTCACTTTTGTTTTAATTTTGTCAAGAAGAATGACATGTTTCTATACTAAGTATAACAATTTAACTTTGAAATATTCATTTTACTCTTAATGAAATAATTTATAGTCACACAAATATCTATAACTTATTTTAGATCATAAGTTTTTAAAGTTTTTTTCTTTCTTAAATTTCATGTCAAGTCAAACTAACTCATATAAAATGAGAGAGATGAAGTAGATTTAGAATAAAAGATCAAAATCAACACATTTTGTTATATATTAAAAGATCATTTTAATTAAGTGGAATATATCAACGATAGAACATAACAAAAGGATCTATTAAACATGTCCTTTTAGGGAGTAAACAAATTACAATCATAGCATACAATTTATTGACCCATTAATTAGGAATTTAGGATTATAGTATTATTAATCATGCACTAAATTTACAAGCAAGAAATTTAATTTTTCAACTCTAAAATTCTTCCCTCCGAGTGTATCTAATTGTATGCCGTCTCATCCACAGTTGATAAATCACCATATGAAATGCATCATACGGCTGAGGTTCCGCGTTCCACACCATATGGTGAGCTGCCGCTACACACAATCCCCTCATCCGCTCATATCGATCCTCCGGCACACCGCCCAGGACCGCCTTCAATCCCTGACCTCCACGGCGGTTTCCGATCAACAGTGCCATTTCCGACCACCTCAAAACGTCCATTAACGGAAAATCCTGAACCGGACGGTCAACAATCACCACCGGAACACATCCCGCCGCCATTGCTTCAGTCAAATCCGCCGTCGATTCAGCTTCGTAGAAGAACAAACAGAACTTACTACTCTTCACTCTTCCTAATTGATCCAACGGCTCAGTTTCAACAACAAACTCCGAATCCAACCTCAACTCCTCCACCAACTCCGCCTCCGTCTTCCCATCCCATTTCAGATAACCTAAAAACGAACGATCCATATTCACCGGCGCGTGAGAGAGTACGAGTGAGGATTTACTCACCGGAGGCAAACTGATATCCTTATGAGGTATAAACTTACCTGAAACAGTCGGAAAAACCGAAATCTGAACTGAATTTTTCTTCAGCTCGAGTGCATTTCTATCAGAAGAAAAATCAATTCCTTCCGGTGAGATGAAGAAATGATCAGCTCCTAACGTCCGGTTCCAGTAAGGATACTTCGTTCTCAGCTCACGAACAAGCCGCGCCTGAGAACGAGTAGATATCTCAGGAGAGAAAACCACGAAGAACAGATGAGCTTCTTCAGGCTCCTGAGTGATAAACGCGCTATTAAGGAGGGAATCATAGAAATTTGAAGCTGATTGAGTAAAAAAAGTAATTCGTTCAGTCGTTGGATAGATGAAAATTTTGAAACTCGTAAGCATATTATTGTAATTCTTCGTAAATGTTGATGGATATAGATAAGGCGAAGATGAAGATGAAGAAGGATGAACTAAGACAAAGAGGAAGGTGAAGCTGAGTAGAAAACACAATGAGAAAGTGAAAGTTGCCATTTCTCCGTTGAGCAGAGTCCTTCCACACCGAACTAACTCCTGAATTACTATGGTTAACTTTCGTCTCTGTTCGATCAATCGAATACCTTATACTAAGTGTTTGGAATATAGGGGTTGTTGGAATATCAATGTTGGAATTGAAAATTGAAAGGTATGATACATTTTGTTGTGTTATAATTTTAATTGGTCAACTTTAGGCTATTTGTTTCTTTTAATTTTCTTTGTGTATATGGGAAAGTGACCTTTGAATATAAAAGTTGCAAAAGAAAAGTTCCTAGCTTTCGATTGCATCATCTTGAATTATCCGTCTAATTAAATTTTAGTTATAATCTATAGTTTAAGATTAATAGCAACTTGAGTGGGGTATATTAGAATGTGTATTATATTTTGTTTTTTCTAGTGTCTTTTAAAGGGGTATATTCAATTTCCTAATTTAACTTGATACGATAACCAAATTTAAGCATTTATTTATACAATACATTACGTTACGTTGATTTCTTAGGTTATCTCTTATTTTATTTTATTTTCGAAATAGAGGTGCTACCTACACAATAATAGAGATGGCTAAGACCAAAAGCAAGAAAATGGTGTAAATCATGTGATGAAATGAGTAATGTCAACATTGTAACTATAACATTACAATCTAACCTTTAATCTAAAGGTTGAACCCGTCAAGTCAAATTAAAATTCTGAATCTGTCTCTGACCGATATGACACACTCTTCTATAGGCTGAAAAACCTCGATTTCTAGTTTTTCTAGCACAAACAAGCATCCTCTACTTGCAAGAAGGAACATAAAAGGAGTTACTATTTGAGTACTTGCTATAGCTCTGTGTGTCAAAACTGATCGAGCGATATAAAACTTCAAAAACCCTGTTGAAAACACTACTTGTCTTTTTTACTCGAGTTGGAAGTTCCATACTTCGCGTCATCCTTGATGAAACTCCACCAGATATAGGTCAGAGGGATTGTGGTGGCATGCCAAAGTGCATGAGCATCTACGAGTCCTAGATATGGAGGGAAGTCGTAGATCTCTAGAAGCATCGCGAGGCCACCTCCAACAACCACCGTCCATAACTTCCACCGGGAAGGATGATGGCTTATTCCAGCCCAGATTGACCAAATTAGAAGTTGAGAAACAGCTATCACAACACAAACTTTCATGTTCCATCCTGAGAATTTATCACAGTAATTATCATCAGATATAAACACCAGAAAAAGTCATGACTACAAGAAATAGCTTCCTACACTTGCCAACTCTTTCTAAGACACAAATCATGCCAAACAACAATAGCCCAGAGTCGTAAGCATCCACAGCATAAAGATTCGTCTTCGCACGAATTATTGGAATAGAATAATGATAATGATCAGGAGGATTTTGAAAAGCATTATGGCATTACGATTTCCAAGGCTTAGCTCAGGACCCCACTACTCGTCATATTTGATTTGGTATTGCTTAACGCACATGACTTCTAGAGTTGGCAATTATGATTAGGGGAAGGGGAAATGGGGGAGGTGAATAAAAGGTGGAGAATTGAACCCTTACCAACAAGTGAAATTTTACGTAGCCAACCAACTGAGCTACTACGATTCCCCGTCAACAATTACGATCAACTTGTACACCAAAATGCAAATAACTCGACCCAAAATCAATATTGTATTTTATCCTTTCTTGCGCGACTTAAAAAGTATTTGGTGCTTGTTTTTTCCAGAAATACACTCGACATCCTATTGTCAAGGGAAGCACATTTTGCCGTAAATTTAAAAAAAGAGAGATAATGACATTACCGTAGTCCATTTGATAGTAGTTCAGGTACAATATATGAGTGATGGTGAAGGCAAGCAACGGAGCAGCAACCAGAACTCTCGTAGCCTCATTCTTTACACTGAAACTTCTTAGTACTGATACAATCAGGGAAAATCCAAGTAACACCACAGCAGATGAGTAGTCCAGCTTTTCTGTAAAATCCATGTCTCTACAATAAATAAACGAAAAACAATTTAATACAATTTAATAAGTATGCTGAAATTTGCAAGAAAATAGATAAACGTCAAGCCGGATAGGCAGGCACTGCCAACAAATTCTAACTGCATACAATTATAAAGAAAAGCCTAAACTATATATCGGTAAGTTAGGAAATCAAAATCAGCATTATCAAGACTGCCAAATCATAAACTTACCGACCGTGGAAGATAGCACTCCATAACCATGAATTAATAGACAAGAACGCGTAGATGTGCCACAAACTGGAGTAATTGTAGCAGGTTGTCTCATCGGCATTTGATCGTAACTTGTAGTAAATAAGTGTGAAAAAGGACAGCCATCCATGGAGATGCATTGCAAGGTTAAGTGCAGAGAAAGCAACAGAAACAGGCTCCTGAGAGATTAAGATGTTACTCCAGATTAATACTCGATATATATGAATACATAAGCGAGAGAACCATTCTTGAAGCTGTTGGAACTTAGGACGGGGCCATTAATTAACATACCTGAAGCCCAAACACGCGTTTGAATGGCCATTTCCCATGATATTTCACAGGCCCAAATCCATGTGTTGCTCGTTCTGTTTCTCTTTGAAGCATGCAGTGATACTGGCAATCACTTAGGCAGTTCGCTTGTTTCAACCACAGGTATAGAGGCTCTTTCAAGTACCAGTTGTCATCAGAAGAAGAACCATTTAAAGGAGTATTGCAATGCGCGAAGCATGTTTCTCCAGCACATCCGGTTTCTTTACATTGGCCAAAACAAGCCCTAAATCATGGAAACGATATTTCAAAAATATCATGTCGGATTGTTAAGTGCAGGAGAAAAGGAAGTAGAACTTTTCTGAATTGAAGTAGAAACAAAAAAGACCAGTTTTTCACAATCATTCACAAAAATGTGCATATAACAAGTGCATTTTCCTTCTCTTCACAAAAAGATAATGTTTGCATAGTTGGAATTAGGTATAACTTATGTCATTGTAGATATTTCAACTTAATTAAAAAAAAAGAGAGATTCCTCTTGTGTAAAAGGCAAGTTCTGTAGATCGATTGAGAGACAAATAATGTATTGTAATTGTGATTGTTGGGCCTTTAGATATGGATGTTGCATGAAAAACGGATGCTAAGATTGATGTGAAGTAGATTAAAAATGGTCATATCTAACAGAGGGTATAAGTAGAATATATAAGAGTTGAGAGAAGGTTGTCTGAGAAGATTTATCATATTTTATATAAACCTCAATACAACCGGTCCATAAATTCGACACTATGATGAATGAATGTGGTAAAAGGGTTAAGACAAACCAAAAGTTACCTAGAGTAAGAGTGTAAGACTATCTCAAGAGACCTACAATCTCCCAAAATATATAGGGACTTGACTAAGAACAAAACAGAACGGTAGCAAACCTTCTATGCAAGTTAAACCAAATCGTAGCAGTTGATGTTACACTTCCATTACATCTGGTGTTTGTAATGAACCACTTTATTCTAATCAGATACTAGTATTTCTATGTTCATATAAGTATGAGACTAACAAACTTCTAGTTTTAGAGAACCCCTCATTTGGTTAAAGACAATAGTTAGTATTGGAAAAGAATGGGCCTGAAGAACGAAATAGATACATATGATTCAAACAGGCGACCCTAACTAATTGGGACTGATGCTTAATTGATTGATAGGATAAAACCTTAAAACACTCTAACTGGGAACCTACTCGACCCAATCTCCCAAGTATACTAATGTATATCATTCTTAAAGTCACTAACCAGTTCCTTCCTCAATGATGCCATTCAGGTATGAAAAAGATCAAATCTTTTCCACAACGAACTAAAAGCCAAAAGAAGTATCAAAAGAGCACTGAAAAGGACTCCCCCAAGTCAATGTTACTGCACTGGAACGGGAACCTTTCCAAAACTCCAACAGTAATTCTACCAGAATGATATGGAAATCTCACAGTAATGGCATCTTCATGGTTCAGTCCCTATACAGAACTTAGACACAAGCTGAAACAGAAAACAACCATCCTAGAATTCACGATCTGGAAACTCAAGCTCCTTACAAAGTAGCTTATTTCTCATATGCCTAACATAGGAACATCTTCAAAGAAGGTGTTTCAAGTTAAGCTGCAGGTGTTAACCTTGCGGGATTGAATTGGAAAGTGTGAGCCATCTGTTCATTCATTGTAAGGTGACTGCCAGCTTTCACATCTATTTCTCAACATAGTGGGTCTTGGAGAGGTGATGGCCATAGAGGTGGATCTAGGATTTGAACATTTTGGATTCGAGTTCCGGATTCTACCATCCCATTTAATTCACGGGGGTCAAAATCTACTATTTGTATTTATCTTGTAGATTTTTTAACACATATACAGGGTTCAAGCCAAAGCTACTAGATTCAGATCAATCGATAAGCTACACACAATATCCATCCCTGGATGCCCAAAAACTCAACACATTTGCTGCAATTGTAGTACAAAACGAGAAGGAAGAAAGGGAAGACAATCTAGTGGAATACCATTCCAACATGCATTTGGTGAACCATGTGGAAGGAAAAGGAATACTAGATGCTTCAAAGACAAAGCTAACTCAATTCCACAGATCAAGTTCAACAGCACACCTTTGTTCATTTTTTTGGTGTAAAGAGGAACTCATGAATGAAGTCGAGTTCATACTTAGTTTCCTACAATCCTACAAGATTAAAATGGGATTCATCCATAGGTTCTTGATTTTGCTCACTTTTACATACCATTGACTTTCTTAGTGCTTCTTCTATAATACATTACATTTACCTTTCTCAAAACAAGAAAAACTACTGCACATATAAATTGTGATTACAAATCATTCAAATCAATCTATATTATATCTTTACACTTTTGGCCTAAACTACTAAAAATCAAAAGTAGAAAATGGAAAAGCTTTCACAACATATTAAGCATAAGATAAAACAACAACAACATACAGTGGAATCCCACAAGTGGGGTCTGAAAAGGGGAGAGTATACGCACACTTTACCACTACC